GTGTGGGCTTACTACGCGGCTGGGCCTATTAACCGTGGGCTTAATAACCGGCGACTACTGTATCTGTTTAATATGCAATACGTAGTTTTTTGCGGCTGTGGAGGTTATGGTGCCAGTCCTAGTTTCAAGATTTATATTTATCGTGTTCTGAAGGACGCACGTACGTAGGATCGAAAATAACCACATAGTTTTCTTTGGACATTTAAAGTCCTTCTAGTATACGCTAAACCATCAACCCTCCAGTGTCGAACTGCATGTCATTCTCCGTTGGGAAATTATACTGAAACGACTCAGTCTCCAGAATCAAGCTCCGACTTAAATGTCCATCCCCAAAAGTCTTCGGAAATATAACTGTTCCCTTAGGGTGTTAATTTACTTCATCCACCGTTGCTGCCTCCAAGTCTACATTTTCCGTAACATTTTTATCTGTCGTCCCCATGTCGCACAACCATAGAAAGTTATTTCACACGGTTGATCTTAAAACCGTAATTCGCCTCGTTTCTACCTTTCACGCATCCTCGAGATTGGCCGTGTTTTGTGTCGGGCCATTTCCGTACGTTCGCGTTCCATTTTAAGTGCATCACGAAGTCCTGTTCAGATGTGTGCCAACTATTGGACACTCTCCAATCGTCACAAAAGTCATCATCTTTAAACAAAAAAGTACTATCATCATGAGATTCGGTTAGTTTATTCTGGGCTCGAACGGCCATGAAGCCGATCTTCAACAATTTACCAAAGTAATGTTAGCGAAGTATCCAGCCAGGCTACATTGGGGTTCACTAAACACGTAGTTATTGTAGGTGTGCTTTCCTTAATCTGGCTGCCTGTCGATTGGTAGCCGTCCCTTTTTGTCAGTTATAAAACCGATTGTGGACAGGAAACGCCACGAAATAGTTATCTGGTTGAGCAACAGCTGATTTACGGTCGGCTCATATATGAGCCGGTTGTCCGAATCCGACATGGCGTGTACGGATTTTGTTGAGTACCGCCATTTTAGTCGAGGACACACGGAGGACTCAGGTTTGGGGAGTAAATATGGTTTTCAAGTAAGAATCACTTAGAGTAATCCCAAGAAAGACGAGGTCAAGGTCGCAAACATTACGTAAAGCTTTCACTGCCAAGATGTTACGTCCAAACACAAATAAGTTTGAAGGAGAACCACTTCGCTTCATTTCACCTTTTTCATCAGTTTTTAAGTGTTTATATTTTCTTGTTCTCTTTTTTTCTGCCGTTTTTCAACCGTCATTGTTTCCGATTCTCTTAGCAAGGGAACTTGACAGCAAACTCAGTTTTTAACTCCTCGCTCCCACATTTTCGCCAAAGCGGCTGGTTCAACGAGCACACAAACGACATTATGCCAAAAAAGCAGGCAGTTGGAAGGGCCCTGGTCCGACAACACAGACAGCCAAATAAAGTCTTCAATGTAAGTCTGCGCTACCTTTGATTCAGCAGGAAAACTTCCAACCCGTGGAAACTCCAGACTGTTGCAGGTTGGACTTTAAGTCAATTACCGAACAGACTTCCCTGCAGGAGTTCCTTCAGACGGCGAATTTATCTAGTGTAGACTTTTCAGCGCGTACCTCCTTTCCTTTCCCTCATGCCGTGCCTCTTTAGAAAAGTTAGATGTGAAGGTTATTCCCAAGGCCGAAATGGTCGGAACGATCAGTCAGGCTGAGCGCTGCCGTCGACAACAATTGGTTGAGGAGAACAAACACTGCCTAACCATACTAAAGAGGTTAGTATAAGTTCTGCCTTGCTAACCATTTCGATAACTTTATGCTTGAGTGCCACTGTAAACAACCATATTCGCCTGTGGTCCTTCTCAGCTTTTAATGTTTCCCATTTTTGCACTTTGAAGGCCAAAACTGGTTCCTGGCATGAGTCCACAGGATGTAATCAATGCCGAACAAGAAGCTTACTTGGCCTGGCGCCGTGAACTTGCTCGGTATTTCATTATTTGTGTTCCCTCTTTATGCTTGCTGTCCATTTAACTCGCTTAACCTCGAAATCAAGAGCTTCGGTCTGCTTTTAGATTCAAAAGTTCCAAGATTTGTTTCAAACGCCACTGTTAACATCTTAATACTCAACCTACCTTTTTTCCTATAACCATCTGCGGATACGTCAGCTTTAGTACCTAACAGTCAATTAACATATTCCAGTGGAATGATATTTGGTCATTCGTACCGACTGTAAGCAGCCGTTTTTTGGCCGTTTAGTAACTTGTTTATAAATCCTGATATTTAAGGGGAATAAATGACATTTTATTCTGATGAATTTTAGTTTTTTGTTCTCCCCCTGCTGTTATTAGCGTTGAACACATCGAGGGAATCGTGGTCACTCCATATGAAAAGAACCTGGATATTTGGAGGCAGTTGTGGCAAGTTGTAGAGCGAAGTGACGTGTTGGTCCAAGTTGTAGACGCGAGGCAACCCTTGCTCTTCTTGTCGGAATCCCTCACGAAGTATGTCGAAGAAGTGGATCCCCGAAAGCGGACTCTGGTGCTATTAAACAAGGCGGATCTACTAACCGACGAGCAGAGGTAATTTCATCAGCCATTTATGATTTTTACAGTTCGAGAGCCGCTATGGATATGTTTACTGTCATTGTGATAAAAATATGCCTAGAAGATCGCCCTGCATTCAGAGCCAAAAAGAATATTATAGAATGTATACCGACGGTTCGTCGCAAGCGCTGCGTCTCCCACAATTTCTCATTCCTTCCCCGATAGAAAGACAGTGTCAAATTGACCGGAAGTAAGAGCGGATGAGATAGCAGACAAGGCCTAACAGTATACGCGGACCACGCACTACCTACTCCCTACTGTATATCCTAGTCTTACCGGTGCAGACCGCAAAACAGAGATCCAGATTTAATTTCTTATCTGCTGCTCGCACGGGCCTGACTATTTGTCAGTTTGTCGGGATACGAATGGCCGAATCCGGCGTCCGTACACACTGACACAGACGGTCACGTAGCACGTTGACCAGTACTTCCTTTTCCGGCTTTTCACTTCATCCGTCCTGTTTCTTTCAGGGCTGCATGGGAGCAATACCTCAAATCCATTGGCGCTCAGGGCCTTTTCTTTTCTGCCCTGGATCAGAGTGAGCATTTGAAACACGATACAACCTCCCCGCTGACCTCCCCACCAAAGACTCAGGCTGAACCCGAGCAGACTGCTAGCGAGCGACAAGAAATGGACCATGTTCCAACCGGCAGAGGTGACTGCGCAACAGACGGCCAGAAGTCTGTCGAAGACATGTGCCGGGACTTTGATGGGCAACTTGAGAATGAAACCGACAGTGAGAGTGGCCACTGTACGCTACGTGGTGAGGATTCAGAGCAAACAGACGTTTCAGAGACGGAAGAGGAGGATGAATCTGTCGACGGTTCTCCGAGACTGTAAGTCGAGAAACATCCGCTTGATGCTTTCAGATTTCGATTAACGCACGTCTTGACTCTAGGTGCAAACTCAACAGAACACGTATACCCATGGCATGAGTCGCGAAAACGGACTTTAAGCTACAATGACCAATTTGGCATTACCTTCGTTACAATATGTGCAATAAGCGGACTTTATTTTCGAGATCCTGCGAACCTCTTTGACTATGCTTACAACACTTGCGTGGTGCGGTATATTCTCAACTAACTGTATGACTCGTCCAGACAACCCTTAGTCTAAGCGTTTAGGAATTTTTCACATTTTTGAATTGCAACAATTTTCGCCAGCGTCCTTTTGGTCGTCTTATAAGTTGTTAATGGCGTCGGCATCCTCTCCATGATGCTCAGAACATCCTATCATGCATTGACCAACTGGGTATTCAAGGGTTCATGCCTTCTTCCCCCAATAAACTGAACTGGGTCTTTAACGTCTTCACAGAGTTTTAATTAATAAGAAGACGATGTATATCTTATGATATACATAATTGCCAATAAAAGCGAACCTGCGAGACTCTGAAAGTTATTGAGAAGAAGATGCGATCGCTGGCTTCTATTCGCCCGAAGTTTCCAAGTCCGTCGCGGATTCTCCATCAGAGACATTTGGATAAACAGTAGAATAAACGGTTAATTCATGCACAGGGAGTTGCAAAATTTATAGAATATCGTCACTATGATACAAGTAATGACTCCCTTATCGAGGTTACTTACCTGCTTGTGCGCTCATTGTTTGATGACCGGCGTGCGGGCCGTGACCTGCTGAATTTTCATCACACTTGGTGAAATTAGACGCGGGCTCTTATCGTGAGCCTCTAAACGAAGCGGAACTCAATTGTTCCTCTACCAGATCAGCAAAGTCCATACATTCATTATATTCCCGATTTCTACCAACAAAGCAACGAGCCCGTGGTGCAATGGTAGAGCGGCAAACTCAATGACCAAAGGTCCCTGGTTCGAATCTCGAGGGTTCCAACCCTTGAGATTGGGTATGACTGGCTGATGACGGGTAGCAAGCCAAAAATGGTCATTCCGGTCTCCCTTTGTTTAGTCTGACCAGAGGGACCCGAGTTCAAAACTCGAGTGTGGCAGCAATTTCAGCGGCAACTGGAGTTGATTATCACTAGCCGAGGACGGCAAGTGAACCAGAAAAGGCCTTCCTAGTGTCCCATGTCTTTGCTGGTAATGTTTTTCTGCCTATATCCTAGCCCCCCACGCGGTGGAGGCTCGAGTTAGAGCTCTAATGGCAACATGGACGGACGAGAGGGTCCTCTAACAGATCGGTGTACGCATATCTACTACTATATATATATATTCACTCAGAAATGTGCGAACACCGATCGAATAGGCT